GCAGCTGTAGTTAAATGAATACACAGGCTCTTCACCTCTCATTCATCTGATGATGTGTCCTTTCAAAAAGGAAAAATCACTTGAAAGAATTGAACGTGATTCATAGTGAAAGAGCAACTAATGTACTTGACAATTAGACTCCGATGACCCATCATGGAAGAACAGAATCCATGCAGTAATAGGATTTAGGACAGGACCCCCACAGACACTGGTGGTGGTGAAGATGACTGAGGCTGGATGGAGCTTTGGCTGAGGTGTCTAAGGTGGAGATGGGAAGGAGGTTGTTAAATGGAAAGGAATTCTTAAAAGGAGAATGACTGACAGCAACAACTGAAACCAGATGATCGGACTAGAGTAATGATTTCAGTATTGAGATTGAGTGTGGAAAAGTGGTAGTCATTAAAAGAACAGAAAAGCAGCCGAACATCCAGGAAAGCAGCAAGATGAGTGATTACAGATCTTTCTTATCGAACTTTTGCATAAACTCCATTTGAATAGTAAAGGATGTGTACTACATGCATTAATACCTAAAGAATTCGCAAGAAGGGTTTGATGCAGTTTTATTGAGCACATTTTTGTGTGAACAACAGTTTGCAAAATAATCTCGCCTCAAGGTTTATTTATGATCTGCTCCAGTGGTTCTAATTTCATGTTATCATCATATGGAGATGCCATTGTCTTAGTTTCATATTGTCATTTTCTTGAGTATAATCATGTCAAACTGACTGCAAAGAGCGTAAGAAAATTGTTGTTTCCAAAGAATAAGAAAGTGGCATGACATGTAAAATCCTGCACTAAATGCAAATGTTATATTTAATTTGGCTTTTTGGTTTTTTTGTCATTTGCATCAGCGTCACAGTGTCTTTGTTATTAGTTTCTGTTTCACTCTTTTGACTGAACATTTATCATCATCTCTTGCTCGGTGCGTAACATTGTTAGCAAACCTGCAGCATGGCACAACTCCACTCTACTGTGATTACCTTGAACATTTCCTCCACTCCTGGATATTTACCTCATTCTTTCTGGTCCAGTGGTGCACTTGGTGCGGTGGTGCTGTCCATCTGCTTCCTGCTGGGATTCCCTGGAAACATCGCTGTCATCATTCTCAAGCCAAACTGGAAGAACATGTCCAGTCTGAGTCAAAGTTTGATGCTGAACCTGGCTGTTTCAGACCTGCTCTGCACGCTTACCACACCAGTACTGATTTACTCTTTCCTCAATAGCTGGACTTTAGGCCTGGTTTCTTGCAAACTCATAATGTACTTTATTTATTGCAGCATTTATAGCAGCCTGCTGACTGTGACTGTGCTGAGTGTCCAGCGATACCTTCAGGCAGTGTACCTTGAGAGGAGGTTACATGAGGTTAAAGCGTGGAAGCTGCTGGTTCCACTCTGGCTGGTTGTGATCATCCTGTCCATTCCTGCTTTAGTCTTTCAACAGCCGGTGGAAGAACTGCACCATTTAACATGCAGTAGTCAGTACGCCTCCAAGGGTCAGAGGATGGCTGTGGTGTTGACAGAGACTCTTGTAGGAACTGTGTCACTGTTTGCCATTGTTTTTTCATACATCAGTCTCTACAGAAAAGTAAATCAGGCCCCCTTGTTCAACAATCCACGGACCACCAGACTGATTACCAGCATTATTGTGACTTCTGTTGTCTTGTGGATCCCATATCGTACCGTAACTGTGCTGGGTGTGGCAGCTATTTACTCAAATGATGAGAACCTGCAGAAGATTTTTGAAGACAGCTGGCACATACTTGGATCAGTAACATTTGTAAATAGTGCCGTGAATCCACTCCTGTATGCCTTTACTTCTAAGCGTTTGGCCACCTGCTGCGAAAAAATTACTCAACAGTTAATACAAAACTTCAGAATTCCTTAAAATCTATATTTGTCAAGTGATGTCAGGGCAGAAGTAATATTTCAAAGCTGAAAGCTCTTTGGTGATGTGTTTTTCCTACTGTTACACACAGGGTGTGGTGCTCTCCATTTTAAAGCTGTTGGTGATTGGTGTAAATATAAAATTTTTAAGGTTAAGCAACATCTCAGCTGTGGAATTACATGTTTGTGGAAAAGAAATAAGGAAAAGCATTAAAAAGAATCAATGTACACATTAAATTGAATTCAGCATGCAAACTTTATATATTTACTTCCTATAGTATAATCTCCGTTTTCTTTTCTTTTTTGTCATTTCTTGTTTTGTTTTTCTTTTCTTTCTGAATTCTTGTTTATTTTTAAAGCATTCAAGGATATTCAAGGATTGACAGGCCGATTCCCTCTCCCGCTCGCGGGGGGAGGGGAGTAGGTTCGGCCGGATGGCTCCCCGACCTCAGTCAGCCTATGGAGGTATGTGGTGGGGCGTGGTCTGCGGTGATATGCAGGGAAGGCGGATGCACTTACACGGCATCTGCAAAAGTGCTTGCTCATAGGGGGTCATATGATTGTTGGGTTTTTCTCTGTATCTATGAAGCGCCTTGAGGCGACTTTTGTTGTGATTTGGCGCTATA